CAGGGCGCGCTCTCTCCCCTGTTGGCTACTTGCCAATTTGTTGATCGGGGGGGATCGACACATGCCGTCGGCAGCCCTTTAATTTAAAACTGTCTGTATAGGCTCCAGCTTCTGCAAAAGTGTTGCAAGCTCTCAAACCAGCATTTTTTTTGCTTTTATCATTTCCGCGTCACATTCTCTGATTGCTGTTGTTCTTGCCTACCTGCTTTGCTTATGGGCTGAAACATATTTTTTTCAAGTGTCGCGCGCCGGATCTTTCCCCCGAGGGACCCAGAGACCGGCGTTAGTGTGCTGCCGGATGCCCAAATTAGAAAAATCGGGGTAAAACAGCGAAATTCTAGTGCCTGAACTGTGAAATTGGCTAATCCTGAAAAACATTGTAAACTTGGAGAGGCCTTGCAATGTTAAGAAAAATATATACCTTGCACTGCTCGAAGACGTTTCACGAACTTCTTCTATATATAATTTGATCTAGAGCTATTTAGCTATTTTTCGGAAAAAATCAAGCCGATCTCTGAAGAGTTGAAGCCCCAAAGCAAAGAATGTGTTTCGGCTAATTGAGAATTTGTATTGCAATATCAGTCAGCAATACGATGTGTTTGGGTTGGAATAAACAAATCGCAGTTTTCCTTTCATTGTCAAACGACATTGATCGTTCATTCGTCCTGTCCTGGCCTAAGTTCCCTGCTTATCGTCTAAAACATAATTCTTCAACCGGCCGCGTCAGATTTCCCCTGTGGGAGCGAAAGGACCGGAATTAGTGTGCTACCGGATGGACGTATTGATATTTTCTCGTAAAACTCACTAATTTTTAGCGTCTCAAATGTGAAAATCGCTAAATCTCGAAACAATGCTTGTTTTTGAAACTCCTTGGGCGACTTGTTGAGAATTTGATGTTTTGGAAAAATCTTCTCAATCATAAAAAGAAAAAAATGCACCTTGAACCGCTCGCAACCGTGGTTACGAGTAGCCTATAGACAATTTGATGTATGACTGTACTTCCCAAAGAATCTCTGCTAGCCGATCTCTGGTTGGCTGAACAGTTTCTAAAACAAAAAATGCGTTTCAAAAAATTGTGAATACGTCTAGCAATTTCCATTAGGAATGCACCATTTCCTAACCGCTGTAATAAATCATTGCATTTTTTTTTATTCGTTGAGCAGGGAGACACATCTACACTGACGGTTTTCTAGCCAACCGGCTCTGCTTATCGTCTAAAACATATTTTTTTTTCAGTTGGGGTGGGCTGGATATTTCCCACCGGGGGACCCAAAAGGCCGTCATTAATGGGCTGTCGAGTGGCCTAATTACTATAATGCCGAAAAATAAGTAAAATTCTCAGGCCTGAACTGTGAAAGCGGCTGATTCTGCAAATGGTTTTGATTTTTTAAAACTCCTTAGGGAATTTTTGCTAATTTATTGTTTTGGAAAATCGTCACAGTAGAAAAAAGGACATATACCTTCAACTGCTCGAAAAAGTTTTTTTATAATTTATAATTATAAAAAAAGTTTTTTTTTGAGTTTTTTTATAATCAAATTTATCTATGGCTATTATTCCGAAAGGATCACTGCTAGTTGAGCACGGATGAGTTGCGATAGCAAAGCGAAAAAACATGTTTCAAATAAGTTTGTGCTGGTTTTGCCATTGCAGGGAACAATGGATTTTTCCCCAGATTGTTCTTAAACAAAAACAAACAAACAAACTTAAAACTTAAACAAACTAAATACAATTTCGACCCGTTCCAAAGAATGTCTGCTAGCCTGCCCCCCATTCCTCAAAGAATCTCTGCTAGCCTGCCCCTCCATTCTCAAAGAATCTCTGCTAGCCTGCCCCCTCCATTCCTCAAAGAATCTCTGCTAGCCTGCCCCTCCATTCCTCAAAGAATCTCTGCTAGCCTGCCCCTCCATTCCTCAAAGAATCTCTGCTAGCCTGCCCCTCCATTCCTCAAAGAATCTCTGCTAGCCTGCCCCTCCATTCCTCAAAGAATCTCTGCTAGCCTGCCCTCAATTCCTCAAAGAATCTCTGCTAGCCTGCCCCCGTCAATTCCTCAAAGAATCTCTGCTAGCCTGCCCCTCCATTCCTCAAAGAATCTCTGCTAGCCTGCCCCTCCATTCCTCAAAGAATCTCTGCTAGCCTGCCCCCTCCATTCCTCAAAGAATCTCTGCTAGCCTGCCCCTTATCATTCCTCAAGAATATCTGCTAGCCTGCCCCCGTCCATTCCTCAAAGAATCTCTGCTAGCCTGCCCACGCATCAAGTACGCAATTGCCCAATTTAGAAAGCATCAAAAAATTACCACGTGTTTGCCTAATTAATTTGAGACTTTTTACGGGGTTTTTCAGCTCAAAATGCACCTGGCTAAATTGTGCACAGACGCCAATTTTCCGGCTTTTCTGCAATTTTTAGACGGATGACATTTCAGCGTCCAATTTGAGCATTCTGAGCGCGGTAGGGCATGCTAGCAGAGATTCCTTGGGACTTGAATTTTTTGTTTCACATTT